GGTGTCGTCACAGTGGAGCTAGAGGGAGAGTGCCCTACTTAGTTCAATGTCCTCTTGAACTTCAGTGAACTCTGGGACCCGTGAGAAAAGTGAATACCCACAAGCAAGTTCCCCACCTTCAGCTACTGGTGGGTAGCAAAGGGGCCCAACCCTCAGTGACTGAGACCATGTGTGGCTAGACCAGGCGTGGATAGAGAGCCATAGTTCCTGTGGGAACCTGGAGCTCTCACCTGCAGTCACTTATCTGTAGCAGGTTGACTGGGGGAGGGAGGGACCTGCTTCCAAGCTCACCAGTGGCTTATTGGTAGGGTTCAGCTACTTGTGGGCTGTGGGTTGAGGACACTAGTTCTTAGCCACATGAATCTCTTCATAGAGAGACTACCAACATGGTAGCTGACTTTCCTCAGATAGTCCTAGCAACATTGAAGTCTTCATGGTCTTAAAAAAATATGTATTTTAGGGCTGGTGAGATGGCTCAGTGATTAAAGGTGCTTGCTACCAAGCCTGACCACTTGAGTTCATTCCTAGGATCCATAAGGTAGAAGGAGAAAACTGACTTCTGCAAGTTGTCCTCTGCCCTCCACATGTGTACCGTGTCACACAAACCAACATACCCACACACTCACACACAAGTTGTCCTCTGCCCTCCACATGTGTGCCCTGTCACACAAACCAACATACCCACACACTCACACACAATAAATTAATAAAAACTTTAAATAGATTCTATTAAAATTTTCATTACATTTTAAAAAATTTTATGTGTATGAGTGCTTTATCTGTATGTATGCATGTGTACCATGTGTGTGCAGTGCCTGTGGAGGCCAGAGGAAGGCATTGGATTCCCTGAAACTGGAGTTAGAGGTGGTTGTGGACCTCTCTTAATCACTGAGCCATTTTTTTTCAGCCATTTATTTGTTATTTATTCATTTTTATGTGTTTGTAGGTTCGTGGGCGTGAGTGCCACGGTGTGAGTGTGAAGGTCAGAGGACAATCTCATGGGTTTTTTTTTTTTGTAACTTGGACTTGGGACACACCATCCCATCCCTTTGCTGTGCTCTGTGGGAAGGGGAGGTGATGAGGTGGACCATTAGCTGACAGGGGTCTTCCAGACCCAAGTTGGAGGTGGACTGCTATATCAAGGAAGCGATTAGATAAACTGGATTTCAGAGGAGAGGTCATAGATGGCACAATGTTTGGGGGCCTGTCAGTGCAGGGGAGGCTGGGAATGAACTCCAGTACTTGGAGGTCAAGATGCAGGCCAGCAGAGGAGCCAGGGGAGGAGAGGTCAGTGAGGTGGGTAGGACTTGGGTGGACACAGTGGTGCCCTCTGAGGCAAGAGCAGACCTGTTGCTGGGAGGGAAGGGGGTACAGCCTGTTACAGTCCTCTGAGAGGACAGGTGTGGGCAGGGTGAGGACCACCCAGGAAGGAGCAGCCTCAGTGGAATGGTAGGTCTGAAGGCTGGACTAGACTGGTTCTAGAGAGAATGGATGCTACAGAGCGTAAGGCAGGGGCAAGGATGCTTTGGGGGAAGTTTGGGTATATTTAGGAGCATGGCTTTGAAAAGCACCTTAAACTTTCTTGCCTCAAGTCACTTTTTTTCTTATTTCTAAAGATTAAAAACTTTATTATTAGGGCCTGGAGAGATGGCTTAGTGGTTAAGGGCACTAGTCACTCTGGCAGAGGACCCAGGTTCGGTTTCTAGTACCCAATTCCAGGGGATCTGACAGCCTTCTGTCATCTGTGGGCACTGCACAAACATGGCATACTTATACATTTGCAGGCAGAACACTCATAGACATAAAATAAAAATAAATAAGATACACAGAAAATAAAAAATTTTAAAACTTAAATTATTATTCGTGTGTGTGTGTGTGTGTGTGTGTGTGTGTGTGTATGCGCGCGCCTGTGCGTGTCAATGCAGGCGTGTGTGTACCACACTGGATGTGTGGAAGTCAGAGGACAACTTTAGGAGGTAGTTCTTTCCTTCCATTGTGGGTTCCGAGGCTCAAACTCATGTTCTGACTTGTACAGCCAGCGCTTTTACCCACTGAACGATCTTGCCAGCCCACCAGCCCAGCCCTCTTTTTACTTTTTTTGGGGACTAGTAAATTGCTCAAACTGGCCTTGAATTCTCACTCTGCAGCCCAAGCCAGTCTTGAACTTTCTGTCCTCCTGGCCTCAGTGTCTTGAGTGGCAGAGATTATGGACCTATACCACCAGGCTCAGCTCAAGGATTTCTTAGTTGAGCTGATTTCTGGAACTCTCCTTGGCACATAGGTTTCCCAATCCACAGTCTCCGCAGTTCAGCCACAAACACTACAGTGGAGGCGGAACGCGCTAGAGTGGGTAAACTCAAAGCTTGTCATCAACTGCCATCTAGTGGCTATTTAAGGAACTGGGTTAAAAATAAGAGTTCTTCAGAAAGTCACTTTGGTGTGTGAAGTCCTATCATCTAGATTTCTATCTCTGTCTCTGTTTCTCCCTCCTTCCCTCCCTCCCCCCCCCACTCTTCTTTTTGAGACATGGTCTCCCTGTAACCCCAGCTGACCTGGAACTTGGTATGTAGACCATGCTGGCCTCGAACTTACCGAGCTCTACCTGCCTTTGCCTCTCAAGTGCTGGGTTAATCCGCCATGCCCGGTTTAGATTTCTCTCTTTTAAATAATAAATATTCTTTCCAGGTTTGGTAGAGAGATGTGCTGAGATGGATTTGAGGTGGTGTCCTTTAGTAACGCTGGCCCCTGGCATCAGAGAGAGGAACTCCAACAGCAACCCATGGAACAAAGGAAATTCCTTTCGTTTATAGACTTTAGAGGGGAAGGGGACTCTGAGCTTAGAGCAGAAGGGACTCCAAGTTTAGCAGATTGGTAAAGGTACTACATAGCGTAAAGGCTGTAATTTAGGAAGCTGACCATATCGTCCCATGATACCTTGGGTCTAGCAGTTGAGGGAAGGTACTAGATAGGGTGGATGTAAGGCATGACTAATCGCCCCCGTGAGGGACCAGCCTCTGTAATCTAACAAAATCCTGCCCTTTCTGTGTGACCTGGCTACAGCACTCAATCCCTGTTCCCCAGCCTCTGTTTCATCAAACTATAAAATGGAACTGTTAGGTATAACATGGTACCTGAATGTAAAACATGCTTTGTGAGAGATGCTCTTCACTCACCATAACAGAACATGGGCTCTCACCAGGTGTGGTTGCTCATGTCTTTAACTCTAGAACTTGGGAGGCAGAGGCAGGTAGAGTTCTGTGAGATGGAGGCCAGGCTAGTCTACCTAGTGAGTTCCAAGTCAGCTGGGGCTACAGGAACACCCTGTCTCAAAATTAATTAATTAATTAATTAGTTAATTAATTAATTAAATGGTTCTTCGATGGGGTCCTGGAGAGATGGTTCAGCAGTTAAGAGCGTGTGCTGCTCTTGTAGAGGACCAAAGTTCAATTCCCAGCATCCATATCAGATGGCTCACAACCACCTGTAACTCCACTCCAGAGAATCCAATGCCCTCTTATGGATGTATAGATGCACATTCATACACATAATTAAAAAATAAAAACAGCCAGGCATGATGGTGCATGCCTGTATTTGCAGCACTTGGGAGGCAGAGGCAGGCAGAGTTCTGTGAATTCGAGGCCAGCCTGGTCTACATAGTGAGTTCCAGGCCAGCTGGGGCTACAGGGAGACCCTATTTCTTTTCTTTCTTTCTTATTTATTTATTTATTTTTTTTGTCTTTTTGAGACAGGGTCTCCCTGTAGCCCCAGTTGGCCTGGATTCACTATGGAGACCAGGCTGGCCTGAAACTCACAGAGATTCTCCTGTCTCTGTCTCCCAAGTGCTGGGATTAAAGGCATGCGCCACCACACCTGGCCCAGGAGACCCTATTTCAAAATGACCAAAAAATAAAAAATAAATAAAAACAAATCTTTTTTTTTCTTTAAATTATGGTTCTTTGGGCTGGGGATGTAGTTCAGTTGGTAGAGTGTTTCCTAGAATGAGTGAAACCCTAGGTTTGATTCTCAGCACTGTGGAAACTGGATGTGGTGTTGCACACCTGTAATCCCATCGCTCTGGGAGTAGAGGCAGGAACATCAGAAGTTCTGGGTCATCCTTGGCTATATAGAATTTGAGGGCAGCCTGGGATACAAGTTAGAAAGAAGGGTGGGGGAGACGGCTTGGTGGGTAAAGTGCCTCCTTCGAAAGCGTGAAGTCGTGTATTTGAATTCCCAGAGTCCATGTAAAAGCTGGGCCCTGTAGCAAACTGCTGTAATTCTGGCGCCCTTACAACAAGATGGGGGCTGGGGAGGGACAGGAAAGTCCCTGGACGCCCATGGGCCAGCCAGCCTGGTGTTCACAGCAACGAATGAGAAGAGAGTGAAACAGTGGAAGGCGACGGACACCCACGGCTGCCCTCCGACCTCCATGCGCACACCACGGCAGTGGGTCACACACATGAGCATGCACACATACACACACACACACACACACACACACAGAGCTAGAAATGAAGGAAGTGTAGCGGGAAAGGGACTACAAGAGACAAAAACAGGGCTGGAGAGGTGGCTCAGCGGTTAAGAGCACTGGCTGCTCTTGCAGAGGATCAGAGTTTGGGTTCCCAGCACCCGTGTATGGTGACTCACAACAGCCTGTAACTGTAGCTCCAGGGAATTTGATGCCCTCTTCTAGCCTCCTCAGGTGCCTGTGCTCACATGCACATGCCCTCACATAGACACACGTGCACATAATTAAAAATAATAAAAATAAAATACCTTTAAAAAAGAGAGACAAAAATACACACTAATGAGATAATCAACGCAAAAGCCACATGTTAGCTAATGCTAAAACAGGGTACACATCCATATAACCACCTGGCCTCAGAGACACCCCCCGCCCCCGTCAGTGCATAAGACTCTAATTCCCTGAAAAAGACAAGCTGCAGAAACAGAACGCAGGAAGAGGCAGTGTCACCATCGACAAGTGCCACTCTCTTCCTGATTCAGCTTGATTTGCGGTAAAAGGACCCCAGCCCAGCAGGTGGCCAAGAATCCACTGTACTGATGGAGGAGCGCCTTCGGTGGCCAATTACACTCACAGACTTGTGGTCTTTGTAGAGAAAGTACCCATGCTTGATGACGAAGGGCAGACAGCCAAAGTGCAGGAGCATGCGGGAGATTTGGAGGAGCAAATACAGGTGACTCAGGTCCTTGAACTGTTCTTTGATGATTCCGCTGATGAGCAGGACCATAGAGAAGCTGATGAGTTCGTAGGTGATGATCCACAGTGCATAGATCAGCAGCCCTATGAAGTTGTTCTTGTCGATGCAGAAGAGGAGGAGGCAACTGATGGTGATGGTGGCGATGGACAAGCCGGTGCTGATGTTGTGTCTGTAGCCCATGACCCAGGAAGTCACCTTGGAATCTGTGTCCAAGCAGATGCTGTACTTGTCTTCGAAGCCAATGTGTGTGGACTGGTTTAGCTCAAAGATAAAGAACTGGATGGTGTTGAGGATAGAGAAGATGCCCACAATGGTGGATACTGCCCTGGTATCCATCGCACTAGAAAAGGTCCTGGAGAAGAAAAGTCATGGGGGAGCATGATGAGATGGTGGCAGAGCTAAGCCAAGACCAGTTTCCCAGGCCACTAAGTGTAATGAGGGGAGAAAGGAGCAAAGATGGTACATGGACAGGCAGTAGACACGGAGTCTGAGCCCTGCTCTGACTTAACTAGCTGTGGGGAGCCACATTGTTAGGATGTGGAAACACCACTGGTCTGAGGGAATCTTCATGTAACTTCCAACTCTGCTATTCCAGCTCCAGCTTCCCAGTAATGTGGCAAAAAATAATAAACCTGTGGTGGCAGGAGGATTAGAAATTCAAGGTCAACCTCAGATATATAGGAGTTTGAGGCCAGCCTGGGCTACATGAGATCCCATCTCAAAAACAAAACAAAACAGGGGCTGGAGAGTGGTTAAGAGGGCGTACTGCTTTTGTAGAGGACCTGAGTTTGATTCCCAGCATCCATATTGGGTGGCTCACAACTGTCTATAACCCCAACTTCAGGGAATCCAACTTCTCACCTCCATGGACACGTATACTCATGTGCCTGTAACGCCATACACATAAATGAAAATAAAATAAGCATAAAAAACCCCAAAAAAGTGTTTCTGTTGATGCAAGTTTGTGGACATTAGAAGTTCTTCAGCTGGGCTGGAGAAACAGCTCAGTGGGTAGGAGCACTGGCTGTTCTCCCAGAGGACCCAGGTTCAGTTCCCAGTGCCCACGTGGCAGCTAACTGTCACACAGTTTCAGGGGATCCAATACCCTCTTCTGGCCTCCACAAGCATTGCATGACATAGAGGCACTTATATACATGCAGGCAAAACACGTGTACACATAAAATAAAAAGTAATAATTTTTTTTTTTTTTTTTTTTGTCTTTTTGAGACCGGGTCTCCCTGTAGCACCAGCTGGCCTGGCAATCACTATGTAAGCCAGGCTGGACTTGAACTCACAAAGATCCACCTGCCTCTGCCTCCCAAGTGCTGGAATTAAAGGCGTGCACCACCATGCATGGCATAAATAAAATATTTTTTTAATTGATAAAAATTGTTCTTGGTATGGTGGTGCACGCCTTTAATCCCAGCACTCAGGAGGCAGAGGCAGGTGGATCTCTATGAGATCAAGGCCAGACTGGTCTGCATATCGAGTTCCAAGTCAGCAGAGGCTACAGGGAGACCCCGCCTCAATAAATAAACAAACAAACAATAAATAAATAGGGGCTGGAGAGATGGCTCAGCAGTTAAGAGCACTGGCTGCTCTTGTAGAGGACCAGGGTTTGATTCCCAGTATCCACGCGACAGCTAGTAACAGTCCACAACTCCAGTTCCAGGGGATCCAGTGCCGCCTTCTGACGTCCTTGGGCATTGCATGACCTAGGTGTACTTACACACATGCAGGCAATACACTCATATAAAAATAATAAATAAAATATATATAAAATAAAGGTCTTGATGTCGGGTCTGGCTCTGCAGGTAGTAAGAAAACAATGAACTGTGGCGAAAACTGCAGATTGCTCACACAAGCTGCAGTGAGAACAGAGGCTGGCTTGAAAGGAAAATTAAGGGTTCAAATTTCACTGGGGCACTGAAGAAGATGAGAGAGAGAAGTCAGAGCTGGGTATGAGATAACCAAGCTCGATAAATGACAGGAGGAACGGGGCTCAGGGCCAGTGATGGGCAGCAGGCCAGCTGCGACCCAAGCCTTTGAACAGATGGAAAAGAACTGCTGTCCTTTCACAGATCCTGGGTTCCAATGCAGCTAGTTGTACCAGACTTAATTGTAAGTAAAGATGGTTTTTATTGGGGCTGGAGAGACGGCTCAGGGGTTAAGAGCACTGCTCTTGCAGAAGACCCAGTTTCGATTCTCAATACCCACATGGCAGCTAACAACTGTCCATAACTCCAGTTCTAGGGGGAATCCAATGCTCTCTTCTGATAACACTTCATGATAACTAGTCGTTAACCAATCTCAGTAGAGATTACCTCAGCCTCCGTCCAGTTTCTGACATGACCTTATAAAACCTTTAGCCAATGGAAAGTCAATGGCTTTTTCCTCCCTTGAAAACCCTCTTAAGAGTTTTTCTTACTTTTCCTCATCATTTTCTGTGATGATGATTCTTTTTTTTTAAATATTTTATTTATTTATTTTTTATGTGTATGTGTGTATTGCCTGCATGTAGGTAAGTGCACCTGTGTCATGCAATGCCCATCAGAGGCTGTCGGATCCCCTGAAACTGGAGTTACCGGCAGTTGTTAGCTGCCATGTGGGAGCTGGGATTTGAACCTGGGTCTTCTGCAAGAACAGCCAGTGTTCCTAACCACTGAGCAATCTCTACAGCCCCTGTGATGATGAGTCTTATAAAAGCCTTCTTCTGGGCCTGGAGAGATGGCTCAGCAGTTAAGAGCACTGACTACTCTTGCAGAGGACCTGGGTTCGATTCCCAGCACCCACATGGCAGCTAACAAGGTCTGTAACTCCAGTTCTGGGGGAACCCAACACCCTCTTCTGATCTCCTTGGGCACTGCATGACACAGGTGCACTTACACACATGCAGGAAATAGTAATAGATTCATATACATAAAATAAAAATAATAAATATTTTTTAAAAAAGTCTGCTTCTGTTCTGCAAGCACCCATGAGAGTCCAAGACATTAATTTTTTTTTTTTTTTTGCAAGAGGTGACAAACTCTGAGCCACTGAGACACTATTTCAGGTGAATCTTTATTGATTTTTGGCAGGGTCTCACTATGTAGCCCCAGCTGGCCTGGAACTTGCTAGGTAGACCAGGCTGGCTTTAAACTCACAGAGATCTGCCTGTCTCTGCTTTCCAAGTGCTGGGACTAAAGGTGTGTGCCACCAGGCCTGACATCTCTCTCCTCATCACTCAGCACTTGGGTAAGAACTCTTGTGAGAGGAAGAAGGGGGTGGCAATCAACTCACGAGGGGAACACAGCCTTTAAGCGGACATGCTTTGTTCTGTAATTGTTATTGCAGTCATTACTCTGAGATATAGTCTCACTGTATAGCCTGGGCTGGTATAGAATTCACTGTATAGCCCAAGCTGGGTCTTCCTCCTCCAAAATAAAATAAAACAAAACTTTCTTTCAGGCCTGAGGAGATGTTTCATTGATGAAAAAATACTTTGGGCTCTGTCATGAGGACTGACGTTCATATCCCAGAACCCACTTCATGCAGCTCACAAGTGTCTGTAATTTCAACTCCAAAAGGACCTGATGCCCTCTTCTGGCCTCCACAGGTACCTGCACACAAACACACACACACACACACACACACACACACACACACACACACACACACACATAAATAGTAATAATAATAAATCTTAAAAATAAAACAACCTGGGCCAGGCATGGTGGCTCATGCCTTTAGTCCCAGCACTGGGGAGGCAGAAGCATGCAGAGCTCTGTGAGTTCTAAGCTAGCTGGGACAACAGGGAGACCCTGTCACAAAAAGACCCCAAAAAGGGGCTGGAGAAATGGCTCAGTGGTTAAGAACACTGGCTGTTCTTGCAGAAGACCTGGGTTCAAATCCAAGCACCCACATGGCAGCTAACAACTATCCATAACTCCAGTCCCAGAGGATCCGACAGCCTCTTCTGTCTTCCGTGGGCATTGCATGATGTGGGTGCAGTTACCTACATGTAGGCACTACACACATACACATAAAAATAATAAAAACAAACAAACAAAAAACTCCTTCATCTTCCTAACGTTCTTGTTATAAGCTTTATCCCAATTATTCCTATGCTTAGTGCCTTACCAGGTGCACAAGGCTCTCATTATGACCCAGGTCTTAAGAGAGGGCCATGGCTGGTAGATAGTTGCATTGATACTTTCCTGCCCCACTTCTGCCATGCTTATCAGAACAGCCTCCAGAGTAGTCACTCACCATGTATGGAATGTGACCTGATCTCTCCCAAAGTCAGGCCCCAACACACAGCCCTGCTCCTTTGGTGCAGGCTTCAGGCCACTGTAAATGTCTATAAACTCCATTAGTTCCACATCCCTGTCGTCTTCACACTCAACACCTCCCTCCTGGGCTACAGAAATATCCACCCAGCTCCTTTCTCTGCCTCCTGCTGAATTTCCCCAGCACATTTCAACATTCGCCATATGTAGAAAACTGAGCTTGACACCTGTAACAACTAGCTTTAACTCTAGTTACAGGGGATCTGACGCCCTCTTTTGGCCTGCACAGGCATTGCATATACAGGTTCACTTACATTCAGGTAAAACACTCATACACAGAAAAAATAATATAAATAAATAAACAAACAGTTGTTAGCTGCCATGTGGGTGCTGGAATCAGAACCCAGGCCCTCTGCAAGAGCAGCCAGTGCTCTTAACTACTGAGCCATCTCTCCAGTCCTTAAATGCATTTTGAAAGATTTATTTTTGTCAGGCATGGTGGCTCATGCCTTTGGTTCCAGCACTCAGGAGGCAGAGGCAGGCGGATCGCTGTGAGTTCAGGACCAGCCTGGTCTACATAGTGAGTTCCAGTTCAGCTGGGACCACAGGGAGACCCTGTCTCAAAAAGACACACACAAAAAAGATTTATTTTTATTTTTTAAATTGTGTGTGTGTTTGCACACACATGTGAGTGCATTGCCCAGGAGGCCAGAAGAGGGTGTGATATCCCCTTGAGCTGAAGTTACAGGAGGTTGAGAACCACCATGTGGGTGCTGGGAACTGATCTTGGGACCTCCGTTAGAGCAGCAAGCACCCTTAACCACTGAATCACCTCTCAGCCCGAGAATGCCTTTTGAAACATAAAATGGGATGGGAAGAGAGAGGAAGAAAGAGAAAAGGGAAGGAGGTGAGAACTGGCAATGACTATTAGCAGCTCTATCTTGTTGTTGTTGAGACAGGGTCTCAATATGTAGCCGAGGCAGTTCTGGGATTTATGACTCTTTATTCATCACCCTGCGAGGCTCATCAAAACCTAAAGATCAGGCTTCATTGTCCCCTGGGGGCTGTGATGTGTCTGTATATCATGAATGTTCTGTGACATGTTCCCCTGTTTGTCACAAAGTAAAATCATGCCTGTCTTTCAAGGTGTATCAGATACTATGACATTCAGTATACTCTTTCTTTTCTTTTCTTTTCTTTTTTTTTGTCTTTTTGGAATAGGGTCTTCCTGTAGCCCCAGCTGGCCTAGAACTCACTATGTAGACCAGGCTGGCCTTGAACTCACAGAGATCCACCTGCCTCTGCTTCCTGAGTGCTGGGACTAAAGGGGTATGCCACCATGCCCAGCTAAATAAATCTGGAGAGATGGCTCAGTGGTTAAAAACACTGGTTGTTAGCCGGGTGTGGTGCGCATGCCTGTAGTCCCAGCACTTGAGAGGCAGAGGCAGGCGGATCTCTGTGAGTTCAAGGCCAGCCTGGTCTATATAGTGAGTTCCAGGACAGCTGGGGCTACAGGGAGACCCTGCTTCAAACAAACAAACTAACAAACAAACCAGCTGCAATGAGAAAAAAAAAATTTAAAAAACAAACAAACAAAAAAAACCACTGGTTGTTCTTGCAGAAGACCCAGGTTCGAATCCCAGCACCCATATGGCAGCTAACAACTGTCCGTAACTCCAGTTCCAGGGGATCTAACAGCCTCTTCAGGCATCGCATGACACGGGTGAACTTATCTACATGTAGGCAATACACACATACACATTAAAAAAAAAAGAGAGTGAGAGAGTAAAAAAAGCCCTCGTAAACAAAGCACACTGGACCAAAGACATCACTCATCAAGATATGGGAACAACCGAAGTCAATTCCATGGTCACCTCAGCCTAAGGCCTTGTGAGGTGTCAGGCACAGCACAGAGAAGAGTCTGAGAAAAGCCTGCAAGTTGAAGAGACGGAGCTGAGTCTGAGACTGAAGTGACCACAGCTTCTAGGACAGAGGCAGAGGCCCCAGGGAATGCTGGGAAGTGCAGGGGAAACTCCTGTGTGCTCAGCTTTATGGTGATGTCAAACTTGTGAGAAAACTCCTCCTCACTGTGGGAGGTGGGGTGAGGAGGGGTGTCACTCAACAGGACCAGAAGAACAAGTCTTTGTCCAGCACTCAGATAAGTCTGGAAATTGAGCCTTTTTTCATAGCCACGTTGCAGAATGGCAGGATTCCCCGAGGAATCCTGGAGAACACACGAAAATGTCTCACTCCACTGGTGGGCAATCAGCATGTCAGTCCCGACTAAGAAATACTAAAAGCAAAACTTGGTTGGGAGAGATGGCTCAGCAGTTAAGAGCATTGGCTGCTCTTGCAAAGGACCCAGGTTCAGTTCTCAGCAGCCACATGGCAACTCACAACTATCCATAACTTCAGTTCCAGGGAATCAATCCTCTTCTGACCTCTGAGGGCATTGTACAACACTGGTGAACTTATATATGTGTAGGCAAAACACTGATATGCATGAAATAAAAATAAATTTTAAAAAATTTTCAGCATGGGGCTGGAGATATGGCTCAGTGGTTAAGAGCATGGACTGCTCTTGCAGAGGACCCAGGTTCGATTCCCAGCATCCCCGTAGCAGCTACAAGCCATTCTTAACTCCAGTTCCAAGGGAATCCAAAGCCCTCTTCTGACCTCAGCATTGCACAACATGGGTGCACTCACATACATTCAGGCAATACACTCATACACATAAAATAAAAATAATTAAAATTAAAAAAAATTTTTTTTCAGCAAGAATGTGCTACCGAGGAGGAATGGGGACTCAAGGTCCCCGGCAGTAACGCCAAGTCAGGGAGCGCCTGATATAAACTGGAGCCTGACATCCAGTTCTTGCACAGTTGTTTGTACAGCTGGCCACCCAGTGGGGTCGTGTGCCGAGGGAGGGAGGGAGGGAGGGAGGGAGGGAGAATGCCAGGCATGGTGATGCTGGAACGCACCTATGATCCCAGCACTCAGGAGGTAGAGGCAAGCAGATTGTGAGTTGGAAGCCAGCCTGGTCTACATAGGGAGTTCTAGGCCAGCTGGGGTTACATAGTGAGACCCTGTCTCAATCAATCAATCAATCACTTGCTCACTCAATCTAGTAATCAATGAGACATAAGACAGAAAAGCAATAGAGAAATATACAAGACAAAACTAGTTTTCTTGAGAAAACTGAAAAACCTCTAGTCAGACTAACCAGAAAAAAGGTAGCTAAGTGACAAATTAAAGGTATCAGACACAAGGCAAGACGGCACACACGTATATCCAGGACTGGGGTAGGAGGGTCTCAGTTTGGGGCTAGCACTGACAACATAAACAGATATTGTCTTCACACACAAGCCAACAATATCAGGAGTGAGAAGTGATATCTCTGTATAGTTTACAGCTAAAAGGATGATCAAGAAATAGGAGCAACTTTACAGCAAGGAACTTGACAACATAGATAAAATAAACAGACTCTTGGAAGCACAAATGACCAAGATTAATCAAGACAGATAACTCTAGGATTTCTGTATTTTATTTATTATTATCTGTGTATATATACAAATATGTATATATGTAAATATATGTAGTGTATGGGGGGGAGAGAGATAGCATGTGAATGGGTGTCAATCACCTGCACTTTTGGAAAATTGGTTCTCCCGCTGTGGGTTCTGGGAATCAAACTCAAGTCATCAGGTTTGAATAGCAAGTGCTTTCCCAGGCCATCTCGACCCTTGGTTTTTGTTTGCTTGTCGAAGACAGGGTCTTACTATATGTGAAATATATGAAATCTAATAAAAGGCATGAAATGCCCACATGCCAAAAACTGTAGAACACTGGGGACAGAAATCAGTATGTGAACGGCAAACTAACACTGTTCCCATGGGGTAGAAGACTCAATGCCATGAAGATGGAATTTTTACTGAGGATGTAGCTTGGTGGTAGAGCGCTTGCCTAGCCCTTGTGAGGTCTTGAGTTCAATCCTTAGCACTGCCTGTCTCCTAAAAGATTTCCAGCTGATTCTACTGTTTGTGTGGACATGCACACAACCTATTGACTGTGCCCGTTCCTTCTAAAATCCATGGCTGGCCAGGTGTGACAGAGGCCAGCCTGGTCCATTTAAGAAGTTTCAGGTCATTTAGGCCTACATAGCGAGACCTTGCCTCAAATAAATAAATAAATAGTACCAAAAAATCTAGGAGGTCATTTAGGCCTACATAGCGAGACCTTGCCTCAAATAAATAAATAAATAAATAAGTAAATAAATAAATAAATAGTACCAAAAAATCTAGATGTGGTGGATCACACCTTTAATCCCAGCACTCAGGAGGCAGAGGCAGGCAGATCTCTGTGAGATGGAAGTCAGCCTGGTCTATATAGCAAGTTCCAGGCCAGCTCAGGCTATAGGAAGACCTTGTCTCAAATAGACAAAATGATAATAATAATGGAAATAAATGAACAAACAAACAACTCATATGAAATTTAAGTGTCATTGCACGACAATATTGGGTGTAGGACCTTTAAGAGGTGTTGGGACACTACTGTGGGGAATTTGGCATCTTGGCAAACATGCCCAGATCTACCACCTGATCCCTAGTGACTCATGACATCATACACAAATAGCCAGTCCCGAAAGAAGCAACTCACACTGTAGAACTCATCCCTCAGCCAAATAATGAGAGCACACCTAGTCACCTAGATGGGAACCTCACCCAGGCAGTGCTGTTACCACCTACCTCCACTTTCCTTTTAACTGTTATCAGAAGAGCTTACCTTTCCTCCAAGTGGAGCAGTCCCCTCTCGGGGAACATGCCTTCTATGCCCCTTACAGTCAGTTTCAATAAGTTTTCTATTTCTGTCCCCTTCTGGCCAAGCTTCTTTTATTTTGTTTTATTTTATTTACATTTGTGTGCATGTATGTGTGTGTGCACACATGATATGTCTGTGGATGTGCATGTGCTGCTTTGTACAAGCTTGTGGAGGTCAGAGAAGAATTTTCAGGAGCTGGTTCTCTTCTTTTATCATGTGGGTTCTGGGGAATCAAACTCAGAACTCAGGTTATCAGCAAGCACCTTTACCTGCTGAGCCATCTTGCTGGTCTACATCATATATATATATATATTCAACAGGCATAGAAAAACAAGTTTAAAAGGTCCCTTTTGAGTAACCAAATTCCTTTAAGACTTTCTAAAAAATGTGTATGACTCTTTAGTCTGCATGTATGTAAATGCACCCAGGTCATGCAATGCTCTCAGAAGTCAGAAGAGGGAGTCAGATCCCCTGGAACTGGAGTTGAGGACAGTTGTGAGCCACCATATGGGTGCTGGGAACCAAACCCAGGTCCTCTGCAAGAGCAGGCAGTGTTCTTAACTGTTGAGTCATCTGTACAGCTCCTTTGATACTTCTTGGGGGAGGGGAGAACTCAAGAAAAACTGAAGAAATTTTCTCTATTTTTTATTATTTTACTTGTCTGCACTATAGCAGAAGACAGAGTGGGGGAAGGACATTCCACAGCAAAAGAATCCTTCTCCCCAACCCCCCCAAAAACCCAAACATATGGGGAACTAGGATTACCCTGAGAACCTCTGGGCGACAGAAAATGGCCACCATCATTCATCACCATAGTGGTGGATGAAGCTTAGGATCTTTGCTTTTCGGCGCGGAGTATCTCTGGTAGCCATAGAGATATGCGGGTGGTAGGAGAGAATGTTGCCTCGTTTCTGACTGTTGTAGATGACCTGGGCGTGGGCGATGACAAAGAATATCCAGAAACAGTGCAGAGATGTGCGGAACACCCAGCCGAACCAGCGCATGGCTCTGACCCAGGCCATTTTAAACTCGTGGGTGAGGATCTGCACCCCCAGGTTCGCAGACTCATAGGAGACGATCCAGACGACGTAGCCTATGAGGCCCCTGTAGATCTGGGCGAATACGCAGTACAGGAAAAAGCTGCTGACTACCAAGGTGATGACAGACAGGACGATGACGATTTCAAAATTCCAGCAGATGATGAAGTTACTGGCCACGTTGACGCTGTGGCTGTGGTTGTAATCCGTGCAGTTGACATCCCCCAGGTGTTTCCTTTCAAATATGAGGTGCATGTGCGTGGCCATGATGGAAAAGACTCCCGACAGCACGGTGCCCATCCTGGTTGTCAGCCCGCACCAGCGCTTCTGCCTCATGCCCACACCTCCTGTGGGGACAAGGAACACAAACATAGTTCAGTTCCAGTCCACTCTGGAAGCCCCAGGTTCTCTGCCTCCATCCCGGTTCCTCTCAGAAACCAGAGAAAAATGGAAGGAATGGGGAGTAACAGCCTTGGCTGACAAAAGACTTTAAGGTTGATTGGTAGGCAGGGGTTAGAGGCTGGGTGACTCAGTGGATAGAGCGCTTGTTGGACCAGGCTGAGGACCTGAGCTCAGATTTCCACGTGAAAACTTGTGCAGTGGCTGGTTTCCAAAATCTGGCTCCTGAGGTCTGGTGAGGGATGGATACAGGCAGATCCTTGGAGTTCACTGGCCAGTCAGCCAAAGGAGAGAGCTTCAAGTTCAGTGAGAGACTCTGTCTCAAGGGAATAAAGTGGAGAGCTATAGAAAAAGACACCTAGCAGTCTCCTCTGGCTTCTGCATGTGTGTGCACACACCAGCGCACAGATGAACATACACCCAAATATGTCACATACACACAAATAAAGTGGAGCATGATAGAGGAAAACACTGGCACAGAACAGCCAGTAACTCCAGTTCCAGGGACTCTGACATCACTTTGTGGGCACTGTACACATGGCACACGTACATATATACAGGTAAATAGTCATGCACAAAAATAAATCTCAAAAAAAGCCTTTTGGGGCTGAGAGATGGCTCAGCAGTTAAGAGCACAGGTTGTTCTTCCAAAAGACCTGGGTTCGAATCCCAGCACCTCCATGGTGGTTAACAACCTTCCATAACTCCAGTTTCAGAAGATCCGATGCCCTCTTCTGTCCTCCATGGGTATTGCATGACATGGGTGCATTTACATACAGACAATACACTCATACACAAACAAATAATTAGAGAGAGAGAGAGAGAGAGAGAGAGAGAGAGAGAAACTGACTGCTCTTGCAGAAGTTCCAGATTCAGTTCTCAGCACCCACGTGGCAACTCACAAGCATTTGCAACTTCAGTTCCAGAGGATCCAACGCCCCCTTCTACTCTCCACAGGTACTGCACACACGTGGTGCATTTACATACATGCAGGCAAAACGTTCATACACATAAAATAATAAATGAAAGGCAGCCGCAGATGGTGGCACACACCTTTAGTCCCAGCACTCGGGAGGCAGAGGCAGGTAGATCTCTGTGAGTTCAAGGCCAGCCTGATCTACATAGTGAGTTCCAGGTCAGCTGGGGCTACAGGGAGACCCTGTCTCAAAAAGACCAAAAAAATAAATAAAATAAATAAATGGTAGGAGGAGACAATTGACTCCACAAAGTTGTCCTCTGAACTCCATACGCATACCATGGCATGTGTGTAGCCCCCCACATCATACACTCAGACGTGCATAATAATGAATAAAAATTTAAAAAGAATGAATAAGGAGCTGGAGAGATGGCTCAGTGGTTAAGAACACTGACTGTTCTTGCAGAAGACCCGGGTTCAAATCCCAGAACCCACATGGCAGCTAACAACTGTCCGAAATTCCAGTCCTAGGGGAGGGGATCTGACAGCCTCTTCTGACCTCTGTGGGCTTTGCACGACATGGGTGCACTTACCTACATGCAGGCAATACACTCATACACATAAAATAAAAATAATAAATAAAATATTTTAAAAAAGGATGAATAAGTTACCACATATTTCCAAAACTGGAATATTAAATGATTGTCAAAATGAATCACAGAGGTAGCACATAACATCATGATTGAATCTTAGCCATGTCATATTAAGTGAAAAAAACTAAAAGAAGACATTACAATCACACACACACACACACACAATTTTTTAGACGATGTATAGATACAGTTGAGTCATAAAACTGAATGGAAAGGAGGTAGAGGAAAAACAGCCCCGTGCTTTAGGACGATGGTCGCCTCAGGACAAGGAGGGAGTGAAATGGACCCGGAAGATCATAAAATCAGAGACAAAGGACAGTCGAGATCCTAATTTTATTTTGGGTGGAGGATTTGAGGGAACCCAATACATTATTAAACATAACAAAAAAGTAAATAGAAGTGAGCTTTGCATGGACCAGTGAGGAGCAATGAATGGAGGGTGACAAGTCTAGTGAGTATATGGGGTAAAATTAAAACATTAAAACGAACAGTTAGCGTTGGCGAAGACTCCGTGAAGTGCTTGTGGTGCAACTGTGAGAACTGAAGTTTAAATCCTCAGCACTCACATTAAAAAGTAAGGCAGGAGGGCTGAAGAGATGGCTCAGCGGTTACAAGTACTGGCTGTTCTTGCAGAAGATCTGGGTTCGAATTTCAGCACCCACATGGTGGCTAACAACTGTCCGTAACTCCAGTTCCAGGGGATCTGACACTCTCTTCTGACCTCTGAGGACATTGTATGAAACGAGTGCACTTACCTACAGCAGGCAATACACTCATACACAAAATTAAAAAAATGTAAGGCAGGCGTGGTGGCCTGCTGTAGTCCCAGTGCTCAGGAGGTGGAGACAAGGGACCCCCAAAGGCAAACTGGCTCTCTAGACTAGCCAATTGGCAGAGAGCTCAGGATTCAGTGAGAGACCCTGCCTCTACAGAAAGCAGGGGTGATTGAGGAAGACACTGGTCAACCTCTGGCCTCCACATACACACCCCACACATGCATGCACACCTGCTGTACACACATGCACCCACACATATATACGTATGCCTAAATATATATGCATTCACACACATACATACATTCCCCCCATATAACACACAAAACAAAACAACTCTAAAATTGGATAGGTGAGATGGCTCAGAGGGTAAAGGCACTGGCCACCAAGCCCAATGACCCAAGTTTGATCCCCAGGACCCACATGGTGGAAGGAGAGACCCAACACCCAGAAACTGTCCTTTGATCTTCACATGAATGCTGTGGCACCTAAATGCATAGAAAATGAATAAAATATAATAAAAAAAATGCCACAAAAATAAAACTTCATAAAATCATCATGAGGATTAAATGAGTTAATATATTCAAAATGCGCAGAAGGCACCGTGTGCGCAGAAAGTGCTTTTGCTGTTATCTTTCTACAAAAAAGTGCTCCTATTTATTCTTCATGTCAAAGTACTACTTGTTAAGCTCTGTTGACAGAGACACTGTTAGCTTCCTTTCTGTACCCATTTCCTCCTTCCCTCCTAATAAAGTCTGCTTTTGTTCAAGATGGCAAGAAGCCCAGATCCGGGCAAAATATTTGCTTTCTAGATATTGCCTCGTATGGATACAGTTCTAGCAAATGAAACACAAGTAGAAATCTGCTGCGGGCTCTTGGAAGACTCTCCCTGATGTGGCTGGGACCACCCTTTTGCTTTATTTTCTTTCTTGTTTTGCGTATGGCCTGATGCCTGGACCCTCAACAGCTTTTTGTTGGTTTTTTGCTTGCTTGTCTGTTTATCTGTTTTGAAACAGGGACTTGTTACGTAGCCCAGGCTGATCTCCAACTCTTCATCCTCCCGTGTCAGTGGCACAACTGTTGATATTAGAGGCATGCACCGCTCACCTGGAATCAGAACAGCAATTTTGTGACGGAGGCAGGAAGTGGGAAAACAGAAGGAAACACATTGTGTGTCCGTGTGGAGAGAGTCTTATTTTACTGGTCGGATTTTACTAGTTAGTCTCATGGTGAGCAATCGTCCATGTATTGATTTTAAAAATATGTGTTGAGGACGAGCGAGATGGCTCAGTGAGTAAAGGCGCTTGTTGCCAAGCCTGATAATCTGAGTTTGATCCCTGGAATTCACATGGTGGAAGGAGAGAATTGATTCCTGCAAATTGTCCCCTGACCTCCATACCTGTGCTGCTGCATGCATGTGCCCCCCAACACACACAAAAACACCAAAGAAATAAATGTAATAAAAAAATCTATATTTAAGGCTGGGAATATGGCTCAGTGGTACCCTGCATGCCTAGCAGGCCCTGGGTTTGGTACCCAGCTTATGTGTTTAAATAAATCTAAAAATTATTTTGATAGGCAGAAGATAAAAATTCAAAGTTACAAAAAGCACTGAAACATGATTTAATTAATAGTATTTTTCAATATTTATTTATTTGAGACAAGATCTCAGTATGTAGCCCTCACTGACCTAGAACTCCGTATGTAGACTGGGCTAGACTCAGTCTCACAGGGATCCATCTGCCTTTGCCTCCTGAGTCCTGAGATCAAATGTAAGAGCTAACACGCCCAGCTTTTTATTTATTTATTTTTGGTTTTTTGGAGACAGGATGTCCCTGTAGCCTCAGCTGGCCTGGAATTCACTATGTAGACCGGGCTGGCCTCAATCTCACAGATCTCTCTCTCCCTGCCTCTGTCTGCCAAGTGCTGGGATTAAAGGCATGTGCCACAACTCACAACACCCAGCTGTTTTTTAGTGTTTGTTTTGTTTTGTTTTTTGTCTTTTTGAGATAGGGTCTCCCTGTAGCCCCAGCTGGCCTGGAATCCCTATGTAGACCAGGCTGGCCTGCCTCTGCCCTCCCAAGTGCTGGGATTAAAAGCATGCACTACCATGCCTGGCTTTTTTTTTTAATGTGTATGAGCTTGTGCCTGCAAGTATATAAGTGCGCCTGTGTTGTGCAATGCCAAAGGAGGCCAGAAGAGGCAGTCAGATCCGCTGGAACTGGAGTTACTGATGATTGTTAGCCACCGTGTGGGTGCTGGGAACCAAACCCTTTGCTCTAGTTTCCTCATCCCCTCCCCTGTCCCTGCCCCCTCCTGCTGGTCTCCTTCCCCCAGTAACCCCCTTTCTGCTTTGTTGTGACATATATTATACTCTTTCACCCCCTCCCCATTCCCCTAAGACATCTTCCCCTCCTTACAGCCCCTTACTTGTTTCAAGGCCTGCCTCCTACATATATACATATATATGTACACACACATATACAGAGATATAGGCATGGATACATACGAAACTTAAAATCTAGGATCCCTATATGAGAGAAAACATGGTATTGGTCTTTTTTTTAAAATAACTATTAAGACTGGACATGGTGGTGAATACCTTTTTAAAAAAATATTTTATAGCTGGGTATGGTGGCACACGCCTTTAATCCCAGCACTTGGGAGGCAGAGGCAGGTGGATCTCTGTGAGTTCAAGGCCAGCCTGGTCTACATAGAGAGTTCTAGGACAGCTGGGGCTACAGGGAGACCCTGTCTCAAAAAAGACCCCCAAAAATTATTTATTATTTTTTAATGTGTATGAGTGTATTGCCTGCATGTATGTGAGTGCACCTGTGTCGTGCAATGCCGTGGAGGTCAGGAAAGGGCGTCAGATTCCCCTGGAACTGGAGTTAAGGATGGTTCATAGCCGCCATGTGGGTGCTAGGAATTGAACCCGAGGTCTCTGCAAGAGCAGTCAGTGTTCTTAATCACTGAGCCATCTCTCCAGCCCCTGGTACTGGTCTTTTTGAGCCTCGTTTATTTCACTTTCACTTGGTATAATGATTTCCATGTCTGTCCATTTTCTTGCAAATGTTTACAACTGAATAAATTCCATTGTGCAGATCCACCACATTCTCTTCACCCACCCATCTGTTGACAGACATCCAGGCTGGTCCCACCCTTAGCTATCAGTTTCTGAGGCAGGAATTGAGGGGTGCCTTAGCTGCCTGCTCTGGCTCAGGGAGATAAGGTCGCAGTCCCGGGCTGGAGCAGCTGCCACCTGAGGGCTGTTCTTGGAGGAGAGGTTTCTCCCCCACACTCATCTTTTTATTAAAGAGATTTTTATGTTGGGGTGGGGGGAGGGTGCAATAGCCACAGGAGGCCAGAAGAGGGTATCAGTTCCACTGGAGCTGGGGTGACAGATGGTTGTGGCTGCCTGATATGAGTGCTGGAAACCAAATTCTGGGTCCTCTGCTAGAGCAGTAAGGGTCTTAACTGCTGAGCTATCTCTCCAGAGCCCAGTGGTTCCACAGACTGGCTGAAGCTTAGCACTCACTAGCGTTCACTTACCAGCTCAGCGGCCAGTGGTCAACCCAGGAGGTGTCCTGCTACCCCAGGGTCTAGGGGAGGGAGGGAGGCAAATCAAACACTCTCTAGGGAGCACAACCAGTCACCTCTCCATTTTTCCAGCAGGAGAGAAATTCCACTTACTATAGGGAACTCAGGATTCTTCACTCCCTTAACTCAGGATTCTTCTCTCTTAACTTTTCTGATCATCACTTCCTGCTCATCCACTGGTCTGAGTTTCTCCAAGCAAGAGGCCAGATTTTCCAAAACAAAAGTCCTTTAACCCAGTGGTAGAAGAAGGGTGATCCTCTAAAATACACACAGGAAAATGCTTGACATGTTTTGGTGGTGAATCACCCGACTAGCAGGGAAACCAGTCCCAACTGGGAATGAGCTAATACGACAAATCATATGCGGTGTACACAGTCCTCAAGGTCGCCCTTCATCATCCCAGGGGTGTCTGTGTATTCCTTCTCATGCATGTAAGCCTTTCTCTTTCTCAAATGTCTTTTCTCCACCTGACTCTTCCCTCCTGGTCATTAAGCTCTCCAACACAGTGCCAGGGTCCTAGGTTGGCCTCCTTCTGTGGTCACAGGCTGACTGCCTGACACCTTGCCTGGCGCTAATGTCTCAACCAGGAGTGTGCCCAGAAGCCCCGCCCCCAAGTCTTCTACTTGCTGCTCATTGGTCAGAACTGGATCACATGGGCATCCTCGCCACAGGAGAATGTGAGCTTGCTGGTTTAGACAAATGATTATGATTTGTGTCTGCTCAGACTGGGAACCCAGCTACCCCACCCTACCAAGCAAAGAGCCCCCTTAACAAGGCATAAGGAAGCCAGGGGCCAGTAGTCCACTCCAGAGAGCTTGCTTTATCCATTTTCTCCTCTCTAAGGTGGCAGTACTACAGTGGCAGGCCAGACCTTCACTCCTGTAGTGATTGTGCCTTCTTCCACAGATAGACTTTACATATGCATATGGTTGGCCAGAATAAAGTTTTCATGGGGCTGAAGAGATGGCTCAGCAGTTAAGAGCGCTGGCTGCTCTTGCAGAGATCTGAGTTTGGTTCCTAGCACCCATATGATGGCTAACAACTGCCTGTTACTCCAGTTCCAGAGGATTGGATACCCTCTTCTGACCTCTGTGGGCAATGCACGACATGGGTGCACTTACATAATAGCTGGGCATGATGGTACACGCCTTTAATCCCAGGACTTGGGAGGCAGAGGCAGGCAGATCTCTGTGACTTCAACGCTAGCCTGGTCTATATAATGAGTTCCAGGCCAACTGAAACTACAGGGAGATGCTGTCTCAAAAAGACCAAAAAAAATAAAATAAAATAAAATAAAGTTTTCATTTCCCAGCCTCCTTTGCAACTAAATGTAGCTATGGTGCCCACTTCCTTCCTTCCTTCTTTTCTTTAAAAATTTTAAAGCTACATTTTTATTTATTGATTTTTGGTGTGGTGTGTGTGTGTGTGTGCCTTTGTGTATATGCATACATGTGCATGGACCTCTGTTATATATGCATGTGTACTCTCATGCACCTGTGTGTATACCGTGGTGCATCTGTCCGGTTCAGAGGACAAGTTTCAAGAATCAGTTCTCTCCTTCCAAACTTTTATGTGGGTCCTGGAAATTGAATTCAGGCTTAGATAGCCTTAGCCACAAAGCTATTGCAAGTTTTTTTTTTGTTTGTGACAAGGTCTTATGTGGCCTAGGCTGATCTTGAACCTGCTATGACACTGAACTCCTGATCCTTCTGTCTCTACCTCCCTGGTGCTGGAACCACAGGTATGAGCCACTGGGCCTGGCTTTATGATACCAAGTTTTGAGAAAGGATTGAAAGGGGAAGAAACCAAGCCAGCCATACATTATTAAAGATAAAACTCAGGTCCTCCCTTGTCCTTGTACCTGAGTCTGAAGTGTGGATGTGGTGGGGAACCACCTAGGGCCAAGTAGATCATCATAGATGACAGTGTCCCCACAGGATGGAGCGACAGAGAGAAGGGGCAGGGCCCTGAGGGTTTCGATAGTACCAGAGAGAACTAAATGATACTTTCTGTCCTATTCAAATTCACTCCATGTCTGAACAGATACAGCCGCCTTCAACCAGCTGCCTATAAAGCATGCTAAAGTCTACCACAACAGGAGCTGGAGAGATGGCTCAGCCGTGAAGAGTGTGCACTGCTCTTCCTGAGGACCCAGGTTCAGTCACATGCCCATATCCACAGACACACACATGCACATAATTAAAAATAAAAATGTTAGGCCAGATGTGGTAGTGCATGCTTTTAATCCCAGCACTTCGGAAGCAGAGGCAGGCAGTCTGACACTGGGGCCAGCCTGGTCTATGTCATGAGTTCCAGCCCAGCTGGGGCTACAGGGAGACCCTGTCTCAAAAAAACAAACCAAAAAAAAAAGTATATTAAAAAAGTCCACCACGTCACATGAACCACCACAGCCTTAATGGCATGTAACAATGATGGTATCTTTAGTTCATACATTTGTGGGCTTCAGCTTGTCTGGGACTGGGTGAGCTAAGCTGATCTCAGCCGGACTCACTCAAGTGTCTGGGGTCAACTGTTGGTTGGCCAGGCAGCTCTGTTGATTTTGGCGGTACTCATTCACATGTCTGGACATTGGCTGATCTAGCATGGCCTCAACTGGGCTAGCTTTTGGGGGCTTGGCCTAGTTCCACATCCTCTCCTCGTCATGCAGTTGGCTAGCCTAGACACACTAAGAGCAGGCCCAGTTACACAAGCGCCTTTCTGTGTAGTGTTTGTGTAGAGTTTCCTGAATTCCCAAGCAATCGCAAAGGTGATCCTGGAGCCAGAAAGGGGAGTCTGGCAGGGGAGACACCAGACTGTCACAGCACGAAGGTAACCACAACATGTTCAGAAGTTTTGCTTAGAAGGTGCCAGCCAATAACACGCTGTGGAGTTGAGCCACTGAGGACATGTGTCTCCATAGTTACACCAAGAGTCCTTTTGGCACCAGACCCTCTGCTTCAAGCTTCTTTCACACTGGGGTTAGGTGCATGACTGTTCCTCTTCTCACTGGAACATCCTTTTTTACCCCCTTCTGTCTGTTCTGCATCACAAACATCATAAACTCCTTCTAACTCAGAATCTACAGTGGGAGAATTTTTTTGCAAGAGCCTAGACGCTTGCCCATGACTTAGTTCACAAAGAGTATAAAGTGAATAGTTAGGGTTGGGGCTAGACCTTAGTGGCAAGTGCTTGCTTGCTTAGCACACAGAAGACCCGAGGTTCAGCTGGGCATGGTGGCACACGCCTTTAATCCCGGCACACAGGAAACAGGCAGGAGGATCTCTCTGTGAGTTCAAAGCCAGCCTGGTCTATATAGAGAGTTCCAGGCCAGCCAAAGCTATATAGTGAGACGCTGTCTCAAAACAAACAAACAAAACAAAACAAAACAAAAGATAAGGCCCTAGGTTTAATCTCTAGCACTGGGGAAAAGAAAAAAAAAATAGTTGGCATTTTCAGCTGCAATATAAGGAGGTAGGCTCTGCTTCTCATGGAGTCTCAGAGACTAGGAAATTCTCCATATATAGGAAAAGGGGTTCGATTGCAGGTTGCTAAAAAAAAAGCCAAAACAGGGCTAGAGAGATGGCTCAGTGGTTCAGAGCACTGGCTGTTCTTGCAGAGGACCCAAGTTCGAGTCCCAGCACCCACATGGCAGCTAACAACTGTATGAAACTCCAGTTCCAAAAAATCTGACGCCCTCTTCTGACCTCCACAGGCATTGCATAACACAGGTGCACTTACATACATGCAGGCAATACGCGCATACAGGTAAAATAAAATTAATAAATAAAATATTAAAAAATCAAAACAGAATAGTGAGGATATGGAGGAAGATGATGGGATGGGGGGGACTCTTTAGCCTCTTAGCCCACTTTTCATTCATTCATTTACTCTTTATTTGTTTAATTTTGAAGACCATCTTAAAGTTCTAAGATTTAAAATTTTTATTTATTATTAATTTGCTTATTTATTATGCATGTGTGTATCAGATGGGGGAGCATATGCATGTGCCACAGCACACACGTGGAGCTCAAAGGACAACTTGCAGAAGCCAGCACTCTCCTTCTACCATGTGGGTTCCTGGGAACTAGTTCAGTTCATCAGGCTTGGCAGCAAGCACCTTTACCTGATGAGCCATCTCCCTGGCCCCAAATTTTATTTAATATTTCTGTGTGTTTGTATGATGTGTGTGTATGTGTGTGTGTGTGTATTTGTGTGTGTGTGTGTGTGTGTGTGTGTGGTGCATGTGCATGCTCAAGCCTTGGCACATGTGTGCATGCAGGTCAGAGGACAACTTTCAGGAGTCAGTTCTCTCTTTCCACTATGAATTCTGGAGATGAAATGTGGGTCATCAGTCTTGCATGGTAGCCTGTTGGCCTGACTTTGGACTTTTGGGTTTTTTTTTCTTTTTTTCTTTTGGTCTTTTTGAGACAGGGTCTCCCTGTAGTCCCATCTGGTCTGGAACTCACTATATAGACCAGACTGGACTTGAATTCACAGAGATCTGCCTGCCTCTGCCTCCCAAGTGCTGGGATTAAAGGCATGTGCCACCACATCCAGCTTCTTTTTTCTTTAAGATTTATTTTTATTTTATTTTGTGTGTTTGCCTGTATATATGTATGTACATGCAATGTGTGTGCAATGCCCACATAGGCCAGAAGAGGCCACTGGATCCCATGGAACTGGAGTTATAGACAGTTGTGAGTTGCCATGTGGGTGCTGGGAACCAAACCTAGGTCCTGTGCAAGAACAGCCAGTGCTCTTAACACTGAGCCATTTCTCTAGGCCCCAACTTTTGGTTTTTTGAGACAAGGCCTCACTATGTATCCCTGGTTGGCCTGGAACTCACTATGTAGATCAGGCTGACTTTGAACTCATAGATGTTAGGGTTCCAAATAACAGCAGCAGTTTCCCCCCTCCCCAACAGGGACCTCACCTTGACCTTTGGAGTCAAGGGAAACAAACTCTGCTGAGAAGCAGCCTGCCTCTCCTCTGATCTCCAAAGATAGGATAAGCAGATTCTACCTGATAACCAGAGATTTTAGAAGCTGTTTTTCTCTTATCTTAAGAGGGAAAAAGTAAACACTTCCACACCCTAATCCTACCTGCTTTTCCTGCTTCCCCCTCCCTGATTTCTCCCCCAAACATTCCCCCCTTCCACACCCTAAAGCCCCCATATATAAAGTCCCAGCTCACAACCCATGGGCGGACATCTTT